ACCCATGCTCCAGGCCTCTATCCTATCTAATAAAAGAGTAATATGCAGATTAACCATCACTGAAACACACAAAATAGCTGCCCCTATGTGGTCAAAGATCCTGCCCCTATGTGGACACAAGATGGCCACCACAAGATGGTCAGCAGGGGAGGGCAGTTGGGAGGCACCAGGCCTGCAAGGGAAGGCAGTTGGAGGTGATCAACCCTGCAGGGGAGGGCAGTTAGGGGTGACCAGGCCAGCAGAGGAAGAAAGATGGGGGCAAACAGGCTGTCAGGGGAGCAGTTAGACATCAATCAGGCTGACATGGGAGTGGTTAGGGGGTGATCAGGCTGGCAGGCAGAAGCGGTTAGGGACAATCAGGAAGGCAGACAGGCGAGAAGTTGGCAGGCAACAGTTCTGGATTGTGAGAGGGATCCCACCGGTATTAGGTCTAAATGGGCAGTCAGGCAACCCTTCCCCCGCTCCATGCATGAATTTCATGCACTGGGCCTCAAGTATTGAGTATAAATGTACTTGAAAAATAAAATTAAAAATTCTAAATATGAGTGTGAGGCTTGTTAACCTTGAGCTTTTCTGTTGGAAGGTGTGGAGGTGCAATTTGTTAATGGACCACTGATTCATCTTTTTCTGAAACCAACCATATTTTCCTTAGAAGATTCATTCATTCATTGTTTTGCATGGTGCAGTGGTTGTCAAACCGTGACTCATGAGCCACATGCAGCTCTTTGGCCCCTTGAGTGTGGCTCTTCCACAAAATACCATGTGCGGGAGCACACATACAATGCAATTGAAACTTCATGGCCCATGTGCAGAAGTCAGTTTTCAGCCTGAGTGAGTCTATTTTGAAGAAGTGGTTCTAACCCTGAGCCACACTCAAGGGGCCAAAGAGCCTCATGTGGTTTGCAAGCCATGGTTTCCCAACCACTGGCCTGGAGGGTAAAGGTCTCACCACTTCATCCTTGGAGCTGAATGGGAAAGGTTACTGAGTGCTAGGAGAGTGAGTTACAACAAAGGTTGTCAACTATGACATAGCTCTGATTGTCCTTATTTTACCACCCTCTGCTGTGTCCTCAGTTTTGAGGTTACTGATTGCATTTGCCAGGATAGAATAGATTATTCACATTGGTAAAACGCAAATCTCTACTTCCTATATCTTAGTAAAACAAAGCTCTGATATAATATATATATATATCATATCAAGGGTTCTAAGCTAAGAGTGTTTCATTCTCCATACTTTCAAATTTGCCAACCCAGAAGGAAAGGGAACAGGGCCCTTCAAATGGCTGATCCTTTAGAGTAGGGGTGTCGAACTCAATCAGAGAAGGGGCCAAAATCTAAAATCCAGCCTAAATCGCGGGCCGAATGGTTTACTGAACAGTCATAAACTGTCATTGTGATGGAAACGCAGCGGAGTGCAGTGATGACAGCGTGGTGCGGGCCACATTGCAAGGCCTGGCGGGACGGATTTGGCCCGCGGGCCTTGTGTTTGACACATGTGCTTTAGAGGGAATGTGAGTATAATCTTACAATATGTCTAGAAGCGAACACAGGGATACTGGTGAATAGCACTAATGTTTTTTTGTTTGTTTGTTTGTTTGTTTTTTGTTGTTGTTGTTATGTTGCTACTGATATCTCCTCCTGAGTCTTTTCTGTACTCTGCATTGCTGATTGGTTTGTTCTCCATTTTTTCCCTGCTGGCAGGATTATTTATTCTAACCAGGCTAAGCTTGTTACCACTTGTTCATTTTGGTGTTGCTGTTACCTTTTCTCCTGTCCTTGCTGTTATTTGGAGTTATGTCTTGAAAAGTAACTTTAGTTTTTGTGGAGTTTCAGAAAGGAATGAAATTGGATGCATGTATATAATCTGACATAGTTATCTAAAAAAAAAAAGTATGGTTATATTTTTCTATAAATTGAATGAGCTAATTCTGCAATTTTGCAGTTTGAAAACAGTTTAAAGAATGAACTAAGGTAGATGTTTTGTAAAGTATTTTAGTATCAAGTTTGAATTGATGTGGACAACATTTTGATCTCACAATACTTTCTCTGTATATTGGCTTTCAAAAGGTGTTTCTAAATGAAAGCAATTATAAGTAGAAACAATTTGTTGAGTCTTAGAAAAGTCAGTTTGTTAAACTTTCCAAATATAATATTTACCTAGAGATTTATTACTTACTCACAAATCCCTTTGCAAGTCATAAAGCTTCAAATCCTTTGCTTTTATCAAACTTAAAGTAGCCACTAATTTAGTTGTTCTATCCATTTTCTGCCATCACCAAAATGTTGCCTAACAACCATAAACTTTAGTGACAAACTTCATTTTGTCTGTTACACATGTATTTTTCTCAGGAGCTATAGGCTGCCTAGGCAGTTCTGCTAACAGAAGTGTGGCTTGGTCTTACATCACCTGTCAGCTTTGAAAGGCCAGACAGCATGCTGGTGAAGGTGCTGGTGGTATCTTAGTCAGTTCTGGCTGCTGTAAAAGAAAACCATGGATTGATGGTTTAAACAACACACATGTATTACATTTCAGGAGGCTGAGAATTCCAAGATCAAGGCGCTGACAGATTAGCGTCTGGTGAGAACTTTCCCCCCAGTTTGCAAGAGGCTTCCTTCTCACTTTGTCTTCACAAGGAAAGAGAGAGAAAGAGAGAGAAAGAGAGAGAGAGAGAGAGAGAGAGAGAGAGAGAGAGAGAGAGAGAGAGAGAGAGAGAGAATATGAATGTGGAAATAGGAAGGAATGTGAATTAGGTCTGTTTATTCAAACTTTATCTTCCAGAGATGTCAAGTGATAGGTCATTAAAATAATTTGTTCTGATAAAAATATAAATGGGGTATAAAACTCCAAAGGAGTTTAAAGACTGAATAACCTTGCTAGGAGTAAACTCCTTTTGTTCTTGTTTATGGACAGATTTTTCAATGCTTATGTTTACATAAAACATTTTCAAGTAATGCCTAGCTCCTCTCATTCAAAAGTAGCCCACCCTGATTATTATCAAGAGATGATTTCCAATACAATTTTATGTTTTATATTTACTAATTACTTATTCAGTTGAAAATATATATCATTTAAGTTGTATGTATTATTACCATAATAAAATTCAACTTTTCAACAAAGAGCATTATATATTACACAAAAAAGTTTAAAAATTCAAACAAATCTATTTTATTAAAATAAAATTATGTGTGAAGATAGTAGAATTAATACAAGGTCAAGGAGAAAAAGGAACAGAATAGACTTACCAAAGGTTAAAAGAAAACTTGTTTACATATTTCTAGATGGATATTGGTGTATGGCAAATCACTATTTGATTGACTATAATTTAAAAATTGGTATAACTATTTTAAAATATAACATTAGGATATATTATTTTTAATTTTTATGCTATGGATGAAAAGTTTTTTTAAGAATATATTTTATTGATTTTCTTACAGAGAGGGATAGAGAGCTAGAAACATCTAAGAGAGAGAAACATCAATCAGCTGCCTCCTGCACACCCCCTACTGGGATGTGTCCGCAACCAATGCACATGCCCTTGACTGGAACTGAACCTGGGACCTTTTAGTCCGCAGACTGACGCTCTATCCATTGAGCCAAACCGGTTTCAGCAATGAATGAAAAGTTTTAATGTCAGCTGAACTGTCAGGAATATTACATCATTAAAAATGCATGTGTATGTATGTATGTATGTATGTATGTATGTAAGGGTTGCGAGAGGGGAAAAAACTGTTTTAAGGTTGTTGCTTTGGGCTCTTTAATACTATATCACCCCTAATTTCCCTGTTCTTGTCTCCATATGATGAGATCTAGAACTCTCTATCCATATTTCATAAAAAGGTAATTTATTATCATTTTCCTGTATATACAAGTGGTTACTTTTTATTTTAAAAATAAATTATGAAAGTTATTATGAATTTATTCAACTGAGTCATTGAAATTATAGTACCTTTGTTCCCTGACAAGTGTCACTGAAACCTCTTGACTTCTTAAGGTCTGTTCTCTAACATGGTGTTCAGTAAACACACATGACTAGCTAAAAATCAGATGCGCTGCAGTTGTTAAACATGTCGGATTCTAAAGACTTAGTACCAAATGAAGAATGCAAATATAAAACCACTCATTAGTGCATAAAGAGTGTTTTGGACATATTATTGAGTTTAACAAAATATGCAAAAATAGTTTTGCCTGTTTTTTAAAACATTTTAATGTGGCAAGTAGGATATCTAAAATTACAAATGTGGCTCAGATTGTATTGCCAAAGGAGAGCTCAGATCTAGTCCTAAAGTCAGGATCCCTGCCCCCACAGGAGTCAAAGAGCACATGACTTTTGCTTTTCCCTTTTTACCATTTGCGTAACATTTTCTTTATTTCATGGCTGAGCAACACAAGCACGAATTTCCAATTATTACAAATATATATGCTCTCATAACACCTTGCACTTCTTAGACTTATCATAGTTGTAAAGTAATACTTATTTAAGGAATTAAGTAGTACTTCAGTACTTACTCACTAGACTAAAAGTTCAGTAACATCAGGAACCATGTCTGTTCTTGCTCGCTATTTTACTTACAAGGCTTAACTAAGCTAAGGGGCACATGGTAGACATTTATCAAACCCTTAATTAAAGAATAAATGATCCTTCTCGTATACAATGGTGTGTCTCGATTTCCAAAAGAGAAGGGAGTGTGATGTAACAGCTGAGATCCCTGCCCCATGAGATACCTATATGACTTATTTTTCAGATGAGATTCTCCCCCATATCTCTCAGAGTACAGTGGGATCAAGCTATTGAATCCAATTATTATCCAAGAGATAGTCATAAAACGGTAAAGGAATAAGGGGGAAGTGATTCTTTATTTCACAGGTGCCTGTTACATGTAGTTATTAAAGAGAGATGATTGAAGGAAGATGATTAGAGAAGGAAGTTCCTGGGAAAGATTGGGTACCTGGAGAGAAAATGTGAGGTGACTCACCTGCCTTTTCTTTTTGATTATTCCAGAACGCTGCGATGACTGGGGACTAGACACCATGAGGCAGATCCAAGTGTTTGAAGATGAGCCAGCTCGCATCAAGTGCCCACTCTTTGAACACTTCTTGAAATATAACTACAGCACAGCCCATTCAGCTGGCCTTACTCTGATCTGGTATTGGACTAGGCAGGACCGGGACCTGGAGGAACCAATTAACTTCCGCCTCCCGGAGAACCGCATTAGTAAGGAGAAAGATGTGCTCTGGTTCCGGCCCACCCTTCTCAATGACACGGGCAACTACACCTGCATGTTAAGGTAGTCTGACTTTTGGTGGTGACATTCTCTTTTGCAGTTAGTCCCCAGGCCTTTATCCAGATGATGCATGTGCCAAGAATCTGGAGAGCGGAAGGAAGCATCTAATGCCTCACCTCAGTGGCTCAGCTAAGTTTGGCTAAAAGATGCATGAGGAGAAAATGGTTGTGCTCCTTAGAACAGTCTTCATAGGTGGTTCCTTTTCAAACCCTGACATACATCAAGGCTGTCTAAAGGGAGAGCTCTGTTTATTTGCCCCCCTTTCTCTGACATTGGAAGCTGTCTACACCTTTGTCCCACTTGGAAGCATCAATTCCTAAGCAGGGCAGGGAGTAGAATCCATTTGTACCTGCTATTGTCATCTTTCAAAGCCCTTGGCACAGAATAAAGCACTGAGATGCCTTTTATAGAAGGAAGACTATCTGGGAGGCATCAGATATTTTTAGAACAGTGCTTTTCCAAATTGTCTACCAAAATTCCTCTAAGAAGCAAGTGGGCACCATATCCCTGGGAATCTAAGAATATAATGCAAAGCACTCTGCCAATATTTCTTTCAAATTCACTTGTTTTTTTTTAAAGTTCATTAAATTTTGCATTTTACTCCACAATATACTTATATTTCTTTTACTACCAATTAATGTTTTTGCTCTGAGGAAAAATAAATTAAGGCCTCTCTAAAGAATAATCATTTTAGAGCTTAGTTCTTTGGCTACTTTTCCCCTAAGGTTCCTTTTGGCTTCCAGGTGTTACTTTGTCTTTTAAATTCTCATCTGTGTTATGGAATTACTTTTTTACATTGTTTCCTACTATTTAATGAGTGTATGGTTTTCTAGGGCTGCCATAACAAAATACCATAGACTGAGTGGTTTAAACAACAAAAAAAATTGATTTCTCACAGTTCTGGAGACTAGAATTCCGAGATCGAGGTGCTGACAGGGTTGGTTTCATCCCTCACTTCTTGATTTGTAGATGACTATATTCTCTCCATGTCTTCCCATCTTCCTCACCCTCTTCAACCCCCCCCCCCCCCATGTCTTCGGTGTCCTAATCTCTTCTAAAAACATAAGTCATGTTGGATTAGGGTCTACCTGTATGACCTCATTTGACCTTAATTATCCTTTCAAGAGTTATCTCCAAATACAGTCATTTTATGAGGTACTGTGAGTTAGGTCTTTCTCATATGAATTTTGCAAGGACACTATTCAGGGCCTATAACAATGCAACAATTTAGAATAACATAACAATAAGTAATTCCAGACCTTCTTCTGGATGCCCCCTGCCACTCATAGGTGTTAACTGTTCTCTGATAGAGAATTAGGGCTGTGTTTGATAAATTTAAACTGTGTAATGATTAAGTGAAGGAGGACCTCATTTCTATCACAGAAACACATTTTGACCAGTAGGGCTTTGAGAGTCGCTAGAAACCTCTGAAGGCCTTTTTGAGGCTTTCATGTGACTGTTCAATTTTATTGGAGTAGACTCTAAACTGGTGCCTGGGTTTCAAGGAACTGCAAAGAGTCAAGTGTACATTATATCCTAGTACTTTGTAGAAAAGGTTAGAAAAGGTATTAGTGGAAAGTGTACTGAATGAGAAGACAGAAACCTAGATTACCATCCCAGCTCTGCCACTACTTAGCTGGTGACCACAACCAAATTAATACATATCTGAGAAAGTCAGCCTAAATGCTCTTTGAGCTCCTTTTCATTTTTTACAATTGCTAACCTGTTAATATTCCCACATGGGATTAGCAATTACCTGGGAAGGGGTCCTCAGTGGCTTTCTGGGTGACTTGATTTCTGCTATATAAAACATTTTAGTGCTTCGTTATCTATTTCCTTTTCCTATGTAACCTTCTAATGGTCTAGACCTCTTCCCCAAACTTTTCTAACCTTCTCTGACATTATAGGAGCAAAGCTGCATGGCTGTTAAGGCCTAAGTATACCCTTAATGTTTTGTATTCATTTTCAGATTGTCTCTTCAGTTTACATATTTTCTCTGTCTCAAAAGAAAAATCTAAAATTAAACTTGTCTGGCGGGAGCACCAGAAGCTTCTCATTGCTGTAAGGTGATTCGTAAACTGAGGATGACAAACTGGACCACTGAAATAATAACCTGATGTCTTTAGGCCAGTGGTCAGCAAACTCATTAGTCAACAGAGCCAAATATCAACAGTACAATGATTGAAATTTCTTTTGAGAGCCAAATTTTTTAAACTTAACTTTTTCTAATGCCACTTATTCAGTGGTATTTTGTGGAAGAGCCACACTCAAGGGGCTAAAAAGCCTTATGTGGCTTGCGAGCCGCAGTTTGTCCACCACGGCTTTAGATCATCAGGTTAAGATTCAACTTATAGGATTATCCTGCATATATACTTCCTTTTAAAAAATATATTTATTGATTTCAGACAGGAAGGGAGAGGGAAAGAGAGAGAAATATCAATGATGAGAGAGAATCATTGATCAACTGCCTCTTGCATGTGCCCTAACTGGGAATTAAACCCTGACCTCCTGATTCATAGGTCAATTCACAACCAATGAGCCACACCAGCCAGGTTGTATTCTTTTTTAATTTTTATTTTATTTATTTATTGTCTAAAGTTTTACACATGTCTCCATTTTCCTCTCTTGACCAACCCCATGCCCCCAGCCATCCCACTCCTGGCAAGCCCCCACAGCCCATGTCTATGCCCATTGGTTATGCTAATATGCATGCAAACAAGTCCTTGGTTGATCTCTAACACCCCTCCCCTACCATTTGTCTCTGGATCTATTCTTTTTTTTTAATTAAATCAAATTATGTTGATCATTATATCCCACACATGAGTGAGATCATGTGATATTTATCTTTTTCAAACTGGCTCATTTCACTGAGCTTAATGCTCTCCAATTACATCCTTGTGGTTGTAAATGGTAAAAGTTCCTTTTTTTATAGCAGCATAGTACTCCATTATGTAATAGATGTACCACAGTTTTTTAATCCATTTATCTGCTGGTTGGCACTTGTGCTGTTTCCAAATCTTAGCTATTTTAAATTGTACTGTCATGAACATAAGGGGTGCATATATCCTTTCTGATTGGTGTTTCTGGTTTCTTGGATATGGTCCTAGAAGTGAGAATACTGGGTCGAATGGGAGTTCCATTTTTAGTTTTTTGAAGAAACTTCATGCTGTTCTCCACAGTGGCTGCACCAGTCTGCATTCCCACCAGCAGTGCACGAGGGTTCCTGCCCCTCCACATCCTTGACAGCACTTGTCATTTGTTGATGATAGTGATTCTGACAGGTGTGAGATGGTACTACATTGTTGTTTTGATTTGAATCTCTCAGATGATTAGTGACTATGAGCATGTTTTCATATGTCTCTTGACCTTCTATATGTCCTCTTTCAAAAGTGTCAATTTAGGTCCTTGCCCATTTATTTGATTGGATTATTTATCTTACTTTTGTTAAATTGTATGAGTTTTCTATAAATTTTGGAAATTAAACCCTCAGCTGAAATATCATTGGCAAATATGTTCTCTCATGCAGTGAACTTTCTTGCTTTGTTGATGGTTTCTTTTGCTGTGCAAAAGCTTTTTATTTTGATGTAGTCCCGATTTTGTTTATTTTCTCCTTAGTTGTGTTGATAAATATATTGATATGACATATGTCTACTAATTTGCTGCCATGGAGTCTTATAGAATTTTTATGGTTTCCCATCTTACATTTAAGTCAGTTAGCCATTTTGAGTGTGTTTTGTGTATGGTGTAAGTTGGTGATGTAGTTTAATTTATTTTTATTTTTTGGATATATCTAACCAAATTTCCCAGAACCATTTATTGAAGAGACTATCTTGACTGCATTGTATGTTCTTGCCTCCTTTGTCAAATATTAATTGAGCATAATGGCTTGGGTCAATTTCTGTGTTCTCTGTTCACTTCCATTGGTCTATATGTTTGTTCTTGTGCCAGTACCAGGCAGTTTTGAGAACTGTGGCATGGTAATATAGCTTGATATCTGGTATTGTGATCCCTTGAATTTTGTTCTTTTTCAGGATTGCTGTGGTTATTTGGGGTCCTTTTTATTCCAGATAAAATTTTGGACAGCTTGTTCTATATCTTTGAATATGCTGTTGGTATTTTAATGGGAAATGCATTGAATCTGCAGATTGCTTGGGTATGGTGGACATTTTAATTATGTTGATTCTACCAATCCATAAACATGTATGTTCTTCCATTTGTTTAGTCTTCCTCTATCTCTTTTTTCAATGTCCTGTAGTTTTCCAAGTACAGGTCTTTTACTTCCTTAATTTATTCCTAGGTATTTAAAATTTTTTTTTTGTTTCAATTGAAAATTATATTTTTTTTTATTTCTAATTCTATGAGTTTGTTATTGGTGCATAAAAATGCCATATGTTTCTCTGTGTTAATTTTATATCCTGCTACATTGATAAATTCATTTATTAAGTCTAGTAGTTTATTGATGAAGTCTTTGGGTTTTCTATGTATAGTATCATGTCATCTGCAAGTAAGGACAGTTTTATTTCTTCTTTTTCCAATTTAGATACCTTTTATTTCTTGTCTGATCATTATGGTTAGCACTTCTAGTATTATATTGAACAGGAGTAGTGAAAGTGGGCATCCTTGTCTTGTTCCAGTTCTCAGGGGAAATGAGTTTAGTTTTTGCCAATTGAGTATGGTATTTATTGTAGGTTTGTCAAATAAGGCTTCTATTATGTTAAGATGTGATACCTCTATTCCCACTTTGCAAGAGTTTTTATCAAGAAAAGGTGTTGGATTTTGTCAAATGCTTTTTCTGCATTGATTGATATGACTATGTGATTTTTGTCTCTCAATTTGTTTATGTGATGTATCCCATTTATTGATTTGCAAATATTGTACCATCCTTGCATCCCTGGAATAGATACAACTTAATCAATATGATCTTTTTAATATAGTGCTGGATCTAATTTCCTAGAATATTGTTGAGGAATTTAGAATCTATGTTTATCAAGGATATTGGCCTT